TGTGTGTGTGTGTGTGTGTGTGTGTGTGTGTGTGTGTGTGTGTGTGTGTGTGTGTGTGTGTGTTTCTCTGCATTTGAGTCCTCCTCCCTCTGTTGCCTGAATTCACTAACTGTGACACTTGGAGCTGTGGGAGGGAATAGGTGGATAGAGGCCTAACAACACATTTCTGCCACTGGGCCCCCTAACAGGTTAATCCTGCCATGAAGATATGATTCCCCATTCACTCAATGCCCCATACACTACAACTCACATGCCAAATAAGGCCTTTTCTGTATTTAAACTTGAGTTTAAGTGACTTTATTTGCCATTTGCCGACATGCACAAACATGTTGGAATTTAATTTTTAATTTAAAGAAGGAAAAAAACTAACTTTATTGTTTCACGGTTGATTCAATTCCCTGAGATTTTGTAGATATACAAAAAAATCAAGCGTTGTAGAATACTAAAAAGCCCAACATGTGGTAACTATGCCGCTGGAAGAGCCTGGACATACGGGAAGTGAAACATGAAAATATGTGCTATGAATTACTGGAAACTACAGAATTGAAAACTATTTCTCATGCTGGGAAAATGACGCCCCCCTCTTCCACTCAACAAAGGGAAGGAAGAAAAAGATGATTAAAGAGGAACTACAAGAAGGAGTGGGAGGCTGTGGAGTCAAAGTCACACACATGCCTAATAATCATGTATGGACTCAGGTCCCCTCAACCAGAGTCTGTTTTTAAGGTGTAGACAGTAGTCTACAGCCTCTAAAATCAAATAAAGTGCAATTGAATAATATTTGAACAATACTTTTCATATTGAACCAAAGGGATAATAAATACTCTACGCTAAAAAATAAAACAGATTACAGAGAGCTTCTGAAAAATGTGCATCTTTAAAGTGCTTTATTTAAGAATAATGAAATAAAAAGTGCAGCTTCAGTTTAACTTTTACCTTTTTTCGTGTTAACTCCATTTCTCATCTTAACAGTGTCAACCGGTTTTATAATATTTAATCTTAACACAACAATTGAACAGCGTTAACGTCTCCTTGTTCTCTTTATGATGAAACAAAACTGGATAATTCTCCAAAATGTATTGGTTAGGCGTCTGGGTCCTGTGTAGGACGGTGTCTGGGTCCTGGACCGCAGTCTGCCTGTTAGTGACCCGAGGCTGGAGAGAGGGGATGGCCCCCCCACCCTCCTCCTATCACCTACACCGTCTGTGCCTGAAGTCTCATAATCCAGCCATTATTATTCTGATGCTGCACCAGATGTTGTGTAACACTGTTTTACGGATACACGCAACTGGGTTACGCTGCTCTAGAGGAAACTTTCCCGCTAGTAAACACGTTTTAATAACTGCAGCATAAAGGTCAGGACTCTCAAGAAGGGCTGTAGTCACACAGCTCAACCTCGCCTTCTTCTGAACTATTCAATCGATCACAACCACGGTAATCACGGTATAAACCATCCTCCCTTGCCTGTCCATATTCACATAATGTATGAACTGCATGCACCTCTGGGTCCTCCTCTCTCCGTCTTTGTCTCAGCGGGTGTTTCCAGCTGACCCACGTCCCTGTCAATAGCGTGCTAATGGATTTATTCCTATCTCTCCGAGCACATTGGCCTTAGGCAAGGCAGCGGATCATCCCGTGACTGACAGCTGCTGATAGGACTCCAATCCCATCCGAGAGCCTGTTGCCAGGGGCTACGGCAGGGGGGCTTCCCGCATCCACATAGTTGCCATGGAAATAGGGAGTTCCGCCCTTCCGCCTGCAGATGGCAACACTGCACTCCGAGTCAGGAGAGAGAGGGCGAGTCCTCTTTGGCTGAGGGTGAAAAGGGGGCGGCAATGTGAATGACTGACGCCCAGCGAAGAGCAGTTGGTCTTATAGTGTGCATGTTCACCCTGACTTCACCTTAGTGTCCTCTGGGTGCTGCAGTTTCCTGTTAACAGCATGCAGCAAGTCAGGTGGGGGACTCTACATCCCCCCTGTAGGCGTCACTGTGACTGTTTGCCTGCCAGTCTTTGGTGCTGCTGTACAATCAATGCTTCATATTCACCTATAAAGTCATGTTTGTATGTCTCGGTTATATCTCTCTCCCATGACACCTGAGAAGAAAATGTACTAAAAGATTGTTTGCAAGCAAGAACATGACTGCAAATCATCTTTTTTAAAATGGAAAACAGATTTAGTCCAGCGTCGCAGCTGTTATTGCACATGAAAGAAGCCCCCCCCCTCAGTGCATGTTGGCGTGGCATACTTTCAGAGAGCATACAGAACTGGGAACCGAACCCTCTTTGGTGGTCTGTGCAGTGCTTAACCACTTCCATCTACTGTGGTTGCATTTCTTATTTCCTTGTTTCTGCAGCATGCACTTTTTTTTTTCTCTCTCTCTCTTTCCAACACACACACACACACACACACACACACACACACACACAGAGAGACATTCACACCTCATTAGATTTGGCAGAAATAAGTGAAAAAGAAAACCAGATGATCCCAGTCAGTTCGGCTGACAGTTGATTAAAAGGTGGATCACACACACACACACACACACACACACACACACTTTGAGCTTCAAGGTGATGTTCAATCGTGGCTGTGCTGGTGTGTTTCTCATCACAACGCTCTTGACAGTTCTTCGTATCAATCATCACATCTCGGAGTGTCTTTTCTTCTCTCGTCGGGAAGCTGAGGAGAGGTCATCGGAGGTCAAAGAAGCAGTGGGGGGGGGGATTCCAGGAATTCACCTGCTGTCTGCTGCTGCTGCTGCTGGGGTCAGTTTGCAGTATTTCTCACACACACAGGAAATACTGCAAACTGCAGCTTGTTCTCTGAAACTGAAAAGCAACTGACTGACACACACCCTGCAGGGGAAAAAAAAAAAAATCACCTGCAGTCATCAGATACTCCATCTGTGAGTTATGGAATCACTCAAGCAAAGAGGTCATGTGCGCATGTCTTTTAGAAAATCTGATTTTGTAAAAAATGAAAGCATCATGACAGACTGCTCACATGCATGCACGCTGTAATCAATGTGAACCACTTATGGAGACTGGGAACAGCCGCCTGGGGTCTGATTTCACGTTACACTGTGTGTGAAATACAGCCGACTGCCGCCAGGTGTTTGATTTATTCGCCTCTCACATCCGGAGAGGAACCCACCGGGCTGTGCACTGTGCGGTGTGAGCGGTACCCACTGATGTTTCAGCACACCGTGTACCATATAGTCTGGGAGTCAAACAAGGACACGGCAGTCTGAGGAACAATTTAATACGACCTTAAATTTGGATTAGCGCGCCCCGACAGGCGCCTTTGCGCAGAGAGAGCGCGCAGATGAAGCTCAGTTTGCGGTTGTTTTGTAGCACAGACGCCTTTGAGATGTGGAAAAAGATGCGACATTTGATACGTTTGTTTCATAAATTCCGCTACAATTTGAAGCGTGATACCTTAAGGCGACACTCACTCTTCAGCTTCTTGTCCAATAGACTGTGGAGGCGTTCACGAGCTGTCGGAAATGTGGCAGTTCATCATGGAGCGCACGTGTAAAATATTAAGAAGTCATAAAACACTGTTTTCTTTTTCTCTTTACAGCTCATACTCTATTTATTTTACATAATTTATGTAAATGTATTATTTTTTTTAACGATTTTTTTATATTTATGACTTTTGCCTGACTTTTATGTGCAAATATGCGAATTCAGATTCCTTGTATGTGAAATAAACCTACTTTAAACTGCTGTATGCCTCTTCTTTTACTCTCTTTAGCTCTCTCTTTTATGATAAATCAATTAAAACGTCTAAAAGTGTGCACGTTTTATTGTTATTGGACACTTTTATGACACAAACTTTGTGGCGGACACAGGATAATGACAAGTTAACCCAGGCTGTATTGCCAGTGAGTATACTGGGGTATCCAAGTTCATAGACCTCAGCCATGTCTTGGGCTGCAACTAATGTTAATGTCTGTGTTTTTTTGAAACTCAATAGATTATCTATTTTGTCCAAAAACATTACATTTACGCACATATATTACCTTTTCCAAGAGTACATGGTTTTGTCTTCAAAGTGCTTCATCAGACACTTAAAAGTATTCATTTCTGAATGATATAATCATATTTGAGAACCTGGAACCAGCAAATGTTATGCATTTTTTGCTTATCTGACAATCACAATTATTATTATTTTAACTCACCCTTTAATCAGCTGGTACAGTGGTTCCCAACCTAGGGATCAGGACTCCCACTAGGGGTCGCCAAAGCTTCATAGAGGGTCGTGAGGCCTTCTTGATATTAAAGTGTGCAAGAAAAGTAAACACAATTTGCCTATATCTCAGTATTTCTTCTGTTAAGAAAAGGTAATGTAAAGTAAATTGTCTAGAACAATGGCCAAGCGTTAGGGACAGTGTTACGTATGATAACAATATATTATACAGCCAGAAAATATGTGTGTATAAAGGGAATCTGCTCAAAATTCATCCAAATCTGCAGTTACTGGGTTCACTGTTTGGTTTCATTGTACAGTAATATGAAATATACATAAAATATGTCACAGTCAGGGGTCGAGTTTACTAAAGTTTTCACATACTAGGAATTTGCCTTGGTACACCGGTGCATAAGAATCACAATCAAGTGTAGAAAAATGTAAATAAAGATAAAAAATATCTTTTTTTTTTTAAATAGAGACAATAAAAAGGAGCCACTATATACAAATAAGAGATTTTGTACAAACTTACTTGAATAAATGAGTAAAGAGCTGTACAGAAAGGTGCAAAATAATAATAATAATTAACCATGCATTAATGTAACGCATATATACAAGGTGGGTGGGGTTAAGAGTCAAATTAAGGGAAAAGCGTGGGAACTACTAAGCAAATAAACCAATGAAACCACTTTTTTAAAGTTGAAAAATAAACACTATTTAAAAAAAAAAGGCTCGGAGTTCTCTAAATTCCGAGCCTACCGGGGGGCACCTGAAGGCAGCACAGTTGTGAGATCAGCTGATTTTTTACGCTGCCATTTTGTCCGGCAGAGAAGCAACCAGCCAGTCAGTCCGTAAAGAGAAACCACTGGCGAGACTTTTATAGAGGCAGCGGCACAGGACGGGACTGTCGGTGAGGAAGAAGAAAAAAAAACAACAAAACATAATAAAAACCGAGCCGATAATGTGGAGTCGACAGCCGGAGGACGGCACCAACTGAGCCCCACTCCGCCCGACCGCCTCCCAACCTGAGGACCGCGAAAGGGGAAACAACCGAGCGAGCGGAGCTGTCATTTTTATTATTTTTTTTTTTTAACTTAACGGGTCCGCCGGCTCCGCTTCTCCAGGGCACTCGAGCTAACGCCCGCTAGCTTCCTCGGCGTCTCTTCTCACCGGGGAGAGAAACGGCGCCTGTCCACCCTCCTCCACCCTGTTTTTTTTTGTTTTTTTCTGACGGTATTCTCTTATAAACTTTAAGAACAATAATGCGCTGCTCAATTTCCAGTGACTTTTTACGCCCGAGGGGGGTTTTAAGGCTCACTTTGCCCAGCGACCAGTGATAGCATAAAAAAAAAAAAAAAACGGCCGAAGCTAACAAGTTGACGTGGAGGAGCAACTCGAGAGTCTCCAAGCTGTGATTTCAAACGGATTACTTTTTATTTTTTATTGTTGTTGCCTACCCCGAGGTGGTCTCTTCTGATTCAACCCACCCTCCCCTAAAAAAAAAAAAAAAAAATCCAGGTTTTTTTTTAACATATAAAGCCAGCCAGTTAGCTATGTTTATTTGTGGCCAGAAAGTAATTTCCAGTGTTTACAAAGTCCACAGTGGGACTCTTTCCTGGTTGCAGTGCTGCGACGGAAACATTAGCTAACACAAGACAAGCTCAGATTAGTGTCGTCGTGTTTTATTGTTTTGTTTGTTTACTAAATAGATAGAAGAAAAAAAAGTGGGGGGGGGAGGGAGGTAAACAGTTGCCAAACACGATTTAACAACAACAACAACAAAAGCTGCAAATCAGCTGTTGTCATTGAACAGCAAGATATTCTTCTACCTGCATTTTTTTGTTTTGTTTTGTTTGTTTGTTTGTTTGTTGTTGTTGTTGTTGCCACCAGTGATCTGACATTACTGCAGAGGCACCTGGAGAAAGAAAAACTTCCAACAGTGGAGTTGATCCATTGATCGGATCGATATTGTGCTGTTTTATCTGATTGAAAGGGGGGGTAAAAAGAAAGAAAAGCAGTGTAGTGTGTGTGTTTGTGTGTGTGTGTGTGTGTGAGAGAGAGAAAATAGAAGCGATGTCGGGCCAATCTATCACGGATCGGATCGCAGCAGCGCAGCACAGCATGACCGGGTCGGCTATCAGCAAGGCTGTGTGCAAAGCCACCACACATGAAGTCAGCGGACCCAAGAAGAAACACCTCGACTGTGAGTATATGTCCTCCTGTTTTTTTTAAAAAAGCTGCAGGGCTTACACACACACACACACACACACACACACACACAGGAAGCAGACATACCGGTCCTGATGGTACTGAAGCTCCCTCATGCACACATTCCTTCACACTACATTGCAGTCAGGAAGCAAAACTAAATTATACAGATGTTGGGATTTAGAGGGGGGGTAAATGTGAAGCCTGTTAACTGTCAACCATACACACATTAGCCACATTAATTGGAGGCAATATTTATCCATTTTTGTATGGATTTTGTTTAATCTTTTGGTCTGTAAACGCCATGTATGATGACACGAGCCCAAAGTAATGCTCCTAAAAGTCAAATATCCAGTGTAAGTACTCGACTGATGATTCATTTCCTCATCCTTTAAGCTCTCGGTTACATCTGCGATCGATTGGTTACGTTTCTATACTTTGAGATGTCAGGAAATGGTGAACAGTTCCTTTCAAGATGTCACAGAATCGATGGTATAGTCTTTAGATAAAATAATAAATAATAGTAATAATGAGGGTTATTGATTAATCTGCACACGATCTTCTCCAGACATCAACATGAGTTGTTCAAATTTGCTTAATTTCCCGTATATGACAATAAAAAAACATTTTGGGACCTGAAAACAGCATTAACGATTATCCAAAAGTCTGTTATTAATGTGGTGCGACACTGGAAACGCCATAGATATTACATTTTAATGCTAGAAAACAGTGAAAAGCAGTAAATTCTTGACATTGATGACATGATAAATGACTAAACAATTAATTTATTATCAAAGTAGTCGGTTTGTTGATCTACTGAGACGTTAATCGACAAGCTGTTCCACCACTAATCCAGTTTCTACTAAAGGTCCAGTGTGTAGGATGTAATGGCATCCAGAGGTACAAGCACGTAGGAGATACTATGGTGGCCCTACCTAATCACAAAGATTCTTATTTTCAGGTTATTAAATACTAATGAAAACATACTTATCAATATTACATTTCTGCCAATAGATCCTCCTAAATGTTACACACTGGACCTTTAACCCAGAATTTAGGCAAACAAACGACTCCTCATTTGTTTAAGCTGTAGGCCGCAACTGTTTGCAAGGCAATTTGTGACTTCCATCAACATCTCGGTAATGGCCGGGGGGGGGCTAGATGAGTTACAAAACTCTAAAAGCAGGTTCCTTCAAGGCAAGTCACACACAGATAACAACACGAGCAACAAAAGCAGCAGAGAACAGGTTTTTCATCAGACCTGCAGCCCAGGAAGGACAGATTGTACACTCTTCAAATCTCAAGAAACATCATATTTCCTTCCTTGGTGGCATTTTATTTTCTTTTGGGGGGGGGAGCTCTCATACAGCAATGTCCTGGATCTTGGTTGCTGATGTCATATCGATTTTCTTTAGGTAGTTGGTTCCTGGTTGTCCGTTCATGTATCTGCTTTGGTAACGAAGAGTGGATTATGTCCTTCCACCGCCAGCGCAGCCCACTGAAGTTAAACTGAGTCACGTTGAAACGTGGCAAGTGATACAAGTGGGACGACACAAAAGGAAGGAGTGAATGAATACATGTATTAGATATAAAAATGACTCAAGCAAGGGCATATAGGTAACGGTGGCGCTCCTGTCTGACGTTACTGGGAGGGCGAAATGTGCTGAAGCTCTGTTTCTGGGAACCGGGGCCTTTCTGTCGGCTCGGGATGCACGTGTTTGATCGATGCTCCCGGCCCAGCTGCATCACATCCGTCAACTCCTCCTCACTCACTCACTCAGCTGCTGACGTTCAACAAAAAGTCATGTATTGTCTCCGCTCCTTTTGTGAACTTGGCCAGGCCTTTTACAGCCAATACACCACGTCAAGCTTAATCATTGTAGGATATTGATTTCTTTGTGAGAGCAACGACCTCGGTGCTGCAGGGGCCCGGGGGGGGGGGGGGTTGGTCAGCGAGTGTCGCATTGCATGGAGCCCTGATTGTCATGTTATTGGCCCCCATGGTTGTGATTATTCGATCACCGAGAAGGTAACGTCCGGCGTCGTCAGGCTGTCGCGTTGTGTTGTTGGTGTTTTGAAGGAAGAGCGGCTGGCGTGCTAAAGGGGGGGCTTTAGGTTGGGTCGTCATTCAGGCAGGCAGGTAGTCAATTTGTGAGTCGGTTAGCGAGCCAGGGAGGCTGGCAGGCAGTGTGTTCGATCATTACTCAGTCAACTAGCGAGCCAGCTGACCCAACCATCCAGTAATGTAATGAACTCAGGCAGCCAGGTAAGATTGAGTCAGCCCTATTCATACCTAATGATAAAAGGATCTGATCACTCACCTCTAACAGCTGGATATTGGAAGTCCATGTGATAATCAATTTATAGTTTAGTCATTTTTTAAGAAAATAATGTCCAAATTATCTGATTTTAGTTTATCTGATTTAGTCAGTAAACTTATTATCTTAATGGATAACAATGATCAACATTTTTCATAATTTTCTGAATAATTTAATTAAATTAGTTAATTGAGAAAAGCGTCTACAGATGAATTGATAATAGCAATTGTTAGTTGCAGCCTGAATATATATATATATATATATATATATAGTGTATTAAATGATAATATGTCCATAACTATCCAGCAGTGAGTTGCATCTTCAAAGGTTTTGTTATCTCACAGATGTCTTCAGTCTGTCTGGAGTGATAAAATATTTCTGTGGGCCAAAAACAATTTTCAAACCCAACATTCTCCTGGTTTTATCTGGGATTTTTTTTTTTTTTTTTTTTTATAATTTTGGATAGATAAAAGATGTCTGAGATTAGGAAAATACCTTTCAAAATACAAGCTGCTGCTGAGTGACAGGTTTTACATCTAATCTGACTGAATCACTCTGTACAAAGCTCAACACACAGTCGGATGTAGATGATTGTAATGTATGTATGGTTTAAGGGCCACCTGGTGTCCACATTTACCGCCTTTTGATGCACACATTTCTAACTGCACACCTATGATGCAGATGTAACGTTAATCCACACCTTCCAGCCAATCAGAATCTATCATTCCTGTGGCCAAAAGCTTTTCAAACCCTGCCCCCTTGGCCAGATGCCTAATAACTTCTATAGTCAGCAGCAGTATGGTTGAATCTAAACGTGTGTCAAATATGATGAAGGGAAGTGAAATCTAAACACAAGTTCTCAGTCGAGGCACATTTTAAAAGGCGTTCAGAAGCCAAACTGCACGCAGGCCACATCAGCGGGATATTGGCGCAGTCTAGATACATCTGCAAACAAGATACTGCAGGTTTTAACAGGGTCTGTGACGGCAAGGGGGCAGTTGGCAGCTCAGCCAGCCAGCCAGCCAGCCAGCAAGTTGTTGTGTGAGTCAGCTACCAAGTCCACTGAGAAGTGAATTGTAGGCCTGCTGAGCCATTTATAAGTGGTAAGGGAGAAACTTATAGCAACCTGACAGGCTTTGACACTAAAAACCTAGGTTAGGTTGTGTTTTCGCTAACATGGTCTGTTTTTCTTTCAACATCTATTTTTCACGCAGTCAGAGCCTACATACAAACAGTAACACACACAACCATCATTTTCTATCGCTCTCCCATTGGCACAGTTTCACCGCAAGCAGCTGTGACTGTCTGACAGCAAGCTGTGAATGATCTCACCGTGCATATTTGCATCTAGACCCAATAACCGGATAACCCTGGCAGACGCCTTTCAGCGATGCCAGCCCCAGCGGCCGACTGAGTGCGTGAGGGTTAGAGAGGGGCCGCTGTTAGCTCGGGCAGCCGTGACATTCACGCACCACCGGCGAAAATAAGTGCGGCTTTAAAGCCATTTAGTGTCATGATTTGGGACTGTCCACCTCAATTAACCCCAGCTTGTGTGTCAGCGGCAAAAAATGACGAGTCCTTCCCATCAGCTCCAAAAAGCCCCCTCGATTTGTGGAAATTATCGGCGCAAAAAATCAATGAAGGAGGGTTCAGATCTGCTGGAATATGTCTTCGTCTGCTCGCGCACCTGCTTGCAGTTTGCGGGTTGTCAAGGTGAGAGATACTGCGCGTTTAATGCAGGCTTTATAAGCAGCTAACTGATTGCCGTGGCGCGCACACACGCACTCTCTGGAGGCCACTTCTTTCCACTTTGGCGTCGTTGAAACGCTGATTGTTTCACAGTCTTACAGCTGTTAGAGAGAAGTTGTGACATTTAAACTGAAGTCTAGTTTCCCCTTCACCGGCACTCTGTTGTCATGGCAGCGGTCCAGCCAACTGGCTTGTGTTAAATGGACTTAAGTTGACAGGGGAAGTTGGATGGTGAAATCGGCTGCAGCCTCAGTAATGGTGTTGTTTTTACAACCTTTGTTTATGCGGCTGAGCTGGGTGTTTGTGGAGCAGTTCTTAGAAGCATTGAATGAGACTCTAATGAAGCTTCCCAGTAATCCAGGTAGTGGAATATCTCACCATCGTAAATAAGGAATAATTAGCTTGTTCTCTTGTTATTTATCCGCTTTACTGAATGACTGGTGGGGCTGTCTCTCTAGCGCTTAACCTCTGTGAGCAATTCACACCTTGACATCACATGAGAGGCACTTGGTAGTCATGTAACAGTCATTGGAGGCACATAAATGGAGGTGTGAATGAAGCGATGTAAGTGGCCGGTTAGAGCGATACCACAATCCCACTCCGGCTTTGTTCAGGGATGGTTGATCCAGCCTGATGTACCGTTGATGGCCTTCTTTACGCCTCCTCTAAACCATCTGTCTTCTCTGTCCAAAATGTTGCCATCATTGTCTTCAAAGGGGTGAATCAGAGGAAGAGGGGGGGCGGGGGAGTGAGAGTTGAGGGGAAATCAGCTTTGGCAGGTGATTCAGAAGAAGCAGACACAAGACAAAGACCTTTTTCGTTTTGTCTTTATTTCCAGCTGACGTAGTGGTAGATGATGATGTACGATGTGTATTTATGTGCTCGGTCTGACCGCGCTGTGCTCTAGTCAGGGAGGTGACCAAGCTGT